AGGTAGCAGAAGGGCCCCTGAGACAGGATGATAGAATGCTGTGTACTCAGGTGATTCACAAGTAGGAGCTTAACCATGAGATTTAGAAAGGAAAACCAACTAAAATGATCTTCGGACATTCTTTTTCCTAAGACAAGTCTAGAGCTGGGTGGCTTGACTGTGTGTGTGTGTGTGTGTGTGTGTGTAGAGAGAGACAGAGTATGTGTTTAAATATAGTAAAACATAAAAAGATCAAATATTGTTCGTTCCAATGATTTGTTTCCGACTGTTGTCAGAAAAAAGTATTTGCTATATCTGCTATACCGTGTGTGTGTTTGTGTGTGTGTAATTGCAGTGTGTGTGTGTGTGTGTAATTGCACTTCTGAGAGCAATTAAAGTGCTTGAAAGTAGAACAGCATGTGCTGATCTGTAGAGCTGCCCCTGGTGTATACTCTAAGTCTCATAGTTTCCAGATAAAAGAGCTTCTTCAGAGACAAAGGTCAGTTTTTAAAACACGTAAATGATAAAATGTAAACATCATTTCACTGATATAAAACTAATTCCGAATTCCAAGTTTTAGCTACTCTCTGCAGTGTCTTTCTAGAGAAGGCTTAAACACATGCCAGAATCTTTTCTTCCTTCAGGAGAAGCAAGCTGATGGAATTTTGGTTGAAGTTACAAAATGACAAAAAGATGTTAGATACTCAGAAAATCCTCTTAACAAGCCTTAACATTTGATGAAGAACAAAGTTGGAGAACTTTGCTGAAGTTTTAGCTGAAGTTATAAAATGAAACTTCAACTAAAACTGTAAAATACTTATAAAATGCAAATCTACAATAATCAAACCAATGTCATACTGATATAAGAATAGGCATAGGCACAGAAACCAATGCAACAGAATTGAGGGTCCAGACATAAACCTAAACACCCATGGTAAATTTATTTTCAACAATGATGCCAAGACCATTCAACAAATGGTGTTGGAAAACTGGATAGCCAGAAGCAAAAGAATTAAGTTCAACCTCTTCCTCATTTCATACACAAAAATCGAATAGAAACAGATCTATTGGCCAGGTGTGGTGGCTCACGCTGGCAATATCAGCACTTTGGAAGGCTGAGGTGGAAGAATCTCTTGATAGATAGTGGTAAATCTTCATAACTCCGACTTTGCAATAAGTTCTCAGATTTAATACCCAAACCGCAAGCAACAATAGAAAAATAAACAAATTGGATATCATCAAAATTAAAACCTATTGTAGATCAATGGACCTTACTAAGAATGTGAAAATACAACCTGTAGAATGGGTGAAAACCATTCATCTGATAGGGGTTTAATATTCAGAGTGTATAAAGATATACAGTAATAATATATCAATAATATAAATAATATAATAAAGCCTGATAAATGGACTTAATATTTAAATATTAAAAGACAACCCAGTTGAAAAATGGGCAAAGACCCTGAATCGAGATTTCTTTCAGAAAATGTACAAATGACCAACAAGCACATGAAAAGATGTTCAACGTGATTGGTCAATAAGAAAATACAAATCCGAACTACAATGAGATACCACTTTATAGCCACTACAATGGCTTTAATCAAGAAAACAGAAAATAACCAGGGTTGGCAAGGATGTAGAGAAACAGGGACCTTTTTGTAGTACATTGCTGGTGGGAATATAAAATGGTGTGGGTACTTTGAAAAACAACTTGTCAGTGCCTCAAAATGTTAAACACATGACCAAGCAATTCTACTCCTAGGTATATGCTAAAAAGAGATAAAGACATATGTCCACACAGAAAATTATACGTAAATGCTTACAGCGGCATTTCTAATAATTGCCAAAACGTACAAATAAACCAAATATCCATTCACAGATCAATGGATAAACAAATTGTGGTATGTGCATACAATGGAATGTTACTCAGTCATAAAAAGGAACAAAGTACTGATACATGCTACAACTTGGATGATCTTGAAAACACAATGCCAAGTGAAAGAAGCCAAACACAAAAAGAGATGTATTGTATGATTCCTTTCATGTAATATATCAAGAATAGGCAAATCCATAGGGGAAGAAATCTGATTAGAGGTGTCAGGGTAGTAGGTGTGTTGGGAATGTCTAGGGAGTGTCTACTTAATAATTAGGAATGTCTACTTAATAAGCACAGGATTTTTTACAGGGAATAAAAAAGTTTTGAAACTAGAGAGAGCTGGTGGTTACATAATATTGCGAATGCATCAAACACTACCAAATTGTACACTTTAAAATGGTTAACTGTATGCTGTGTGAATTTCACCTCAGTTAAAAAAAAAGGAATAAAATACTTAGTAGCAAATTTATTAAAGTAAGTACAAGACTTGTAAATTGAAAACTACAAATTATCACTGAAAGAAAATTAAAGGCAGCCTCAATAAATGGAAAGAAGTCCTGTGTTCATGGGATGAGAAACTTAAAATTGTGGAGATGGCAATACTCCACAAATTGATCTACAGATTCAGTGCCCCATTATCAAAACCCCAGCTGGCTTTTTTGCAGAAATTTACAAATTAATTCTAAAATTCAGATGGAAATGCAAGGGACTGAGAAGAGCAAAAACAATCATGAAAAAGAATTGTGCTGGAGGACTCATACTTTCCAATTTGGAAATTTATTACAAAGCTACAGTAATCAAGCATGGTACTGGTATAAATTAGACATGCAAACCAACAAAAAAGAACTGAGAGTCCCGAAATAAACTCATACTCTATGAGCAATGAATTTTCAATTAGGGTGACAATGGGGACATAACAGTCTTTTGTAACAAATCTTTATGACCCTAGGTTAGGCAATGCTTTTTTAGACAGTACTAGCATGTTAATGATGGCACAATTCTGGACCTCTAATTCCAAACATGCTGCACAGAGTTTTTCTAGACTCACACAACACCAAGAGACTTATACACTGAGCCTATTCATGAAGTCTAGTGAGAACAAGCTGGAAGCAGTGAAATTATTTCACTAGGTGAAAACCAGAAGAAGCATTCCATGTCTCCAGGCACATCAACTCAACCCACGTATTCTGAGATCTGACAAGCATTTCACCTCATTTTTTTTTTTTTTTTTTTTTTTTTTTTTTTTTTTTCTCCCCAGATGGAGTCTCCCTCTGTTGCCAGGCTGGAGTCCAGTGGCTCTATCCGGGCTTGCTGCAACCTCCGCCTCCCAGGCTCAAACAATTCTCCTGCCTCAGCCTCCTGAGTAGCTGGGACTACAGGGGCCCACCACCACACTCGGCTAATTTTTGTATTTTTAGTAGAGACAGAGTTTCACCATGTTGCCCAGGCTGGTCTCAATCTCCTGACCTCGTGATCTGCCCACCTCAGCCTCCCAAAGTGCTGGGATTACAGACATGAGCCACTGTGCCTGGCCTCACCTCATCTTAAGCAACATTATTCTAAAGTTAGTTTTAGCCACTTTCACAGAAAAATAGGACAAATGGCTCTAAATCTGTCTATATATCAAAATCAGAATTTAAGGTGTTACATATTTCATAAAACCTTTCTAGTTCAAGTACATATTTTTGAATAATTTGTGATTTTGGTTTGGCTTTTTTATTGTTTTTAATTCTAAAAATTATCTTCACCAAATTCAAGAATTTGATGAGAAATTCTAACATTTTTCTATGTTGAAGGCAAAAAAAGATTTAAAAACAGCAAAACTATGAACCATTTGAATCAAAACAACATTTGCTCCATTCTAGAATGACACATCCCTTACTCTACATTTCTTTCTGTACATTTTTTATTGAAAGAAAATATATGTCTGCTTGGACACTTGTGTTATGCTAAGATTATGCAGCCTGTATGTCTAATTCATTTTTAAATTAAAAAACAGGCGGGGGGCAGGGGCTCATGCCTGTAATCCCAGCACTTTGGGAGACTGAGGTGGACGGATCATGAGGCCAAGAGATTAAGACCATCCTGGCCAATATGATGAAACCCTGTCTCTACTAAAAATATAAAAATTAGCTGAGCATGGTGGTGTACATATGTAGTTTCAGCTACTTGGGAGGCTGAGGAAGGAGAATCTCTTGAACCCGGGAAGCAGAGGTTGCAGTGAGCTGAGATCACACCACTGCACTCCAGCCTGGAGACAGAATGAGATTCCATCTCAAGAAAATAAAAATTGGCCGGGCGCAGTGGCTCATGCCTGTAATCCCAGCACTTTGGGAGGCCGAGGCGGGTGGATCACGAGGTCAAGAGATCGAGACCATCCTGGTCAGCATGGTGAAACCCCGTCTCTACTAAAAATACAAAAAATCAGCTGGGCATGGTGGCGTGTGCCTGGAATCCCTGCTACTCAGGAGGCTGAGGCAGGAGAATTGCCTGAACCCAGGAGGCGGAGGTTGCTGTGAGCCGAGATCGCGCCATTGCACTCCAGCCTGGGTAACAAGAGCGAAACTCCGTCTCAAAAAAAAAAAAAAAAGAAAATAAAAATTAAAAAACAAAGGGACTTAACAGAGCAAGTCTCTAAACATTTCATAATGTTTTTGTCATGAGATAAAAATAAATAACTTGATGGAGTCCTTATTTAAACATTTAGTTTGGTGCAGGAAGTCTGGTAAGTCTAGAGACCCACTGTTAAGTTAGTTTTTACTGCTTAGATTTCTGTATTTCTACGTTTAACTCCAAAGTTAATTATTTTTAATAATCTTATTGTTCAATTAATGAATTAAGTTATTAGATAAATTACATAAGTAGAAATAGCTAGTTTTAAATATCAGTATTCAACAACAGTACTCATTTAGTTGGATAATAATTTTTAGCAACTTTGTTTTAATGGCTGCCTAATTATAAACACAGTCCGTCTTCACTTCGGGGAAGGACAGAGAGAGTTCAGACACATGGTGGTCAACAGAATCTCACACGGCATTTTTATTATATACCTTGTATTAAAATATGGTCTTCATAAACAAAATAATAATGAGGATTATCACTCACACAGAGATGACTTCAGAGAAAACCCAGGCAGTCCACTTACCTTGAGGTGCTATCAGAGTTCTTCCATTCTCCTGACACCAACCAACTGGCTGGACATAAGGGCTATTAACATCACACCTGCAAAAATGGGACTCTCTTTTACATTCCACATTACTTAATGCCAGAGAAAGAATTCAAGACTAACAATCATTCTGGATATCAAGAGATGCCACAGAAAACAGTACTTCATAGCTGGAGAGAATTAGAAGGAATTTTTAGTACTGTATTTGTAGGCTGAGTTACCAAACTTCTCTTTCACATAAGCTTCTTGAAATGTAAAAGTATGAAATTAACGGGGGGGGGGGGTGGTCACCAAGGGCCTGAACTGCCAGTGATTGAGCATTGAGTGAGTGAGCATTTTAATAAATGCTTCTACCAAAACAGTGAGTGAGCATTTTAATAAACTTCTACCACTTCTTGCTGGCAGCAAGAGAAAATATTAATAGATCAGCCCAATCAGACTCCAGATGACATTTTTCCTCCCTGTCCTTTTCAAAGAACCCAGAATATTCTGCGTAAGACACATATACAACAATTCCTCTCAGCTTTGCCTCTGAGTTCAAAGGAGAAGACAGGGCCCATTAGGCACATGAAGAACCACTGTCTCAGGCAAGAACTTGGCCATTACTAGGGACATATGTGGAGAAATGCTATAAAAATTACTCTTGCCATGACCTCTTGCATATTACAGGTTTTTATTCCACCCCCAAAAAAATTCCTTTCAACCCATGCCATGTTATTCTAATGGCATGGCAGCATACATTTTCTCTGCTTCCCAAAGTCTTTCGAAGAATTCACTCTCATTTTCCCAGAATCTTTCCTTTTGAAAATGTGACAAGGTTCCTTTAACATTTTTTAGACAGAAAAAAAAAATACTGCAAGTTTTTAGCTTCCTCTTCACAGAAATGCTTTCCTCACAAACTAGAAAAAATACAGCAAAGGGTCCTGAACTGGTCATATTATTTCAGATGAGGCCTCACTGGGTAATCTACATATGGAGAAGTTTCTAGCGCTCTTTAATTGAGTAATTCACATGAAAGAGAAGATAGTGAACAGTCAACCACCAAATTCCTGATGTTTACCACTATTAGAACAGCAAGAATAGTGAAAGTGCTGGAATGAAAACAAATTCTTAACACCAGACATATGAATACACAAAAATAAAACATTCGTATCTCACCAGTAATCATAACTATCATCCCAATTGTCAAAATGCACTAGTAAGCGATCTTCAACAATATCTGCTATGGTTGCCACACACACCAAGGAAGGGTTCTTCCTGTCGACAGCCTCCAGCTTCATTCCAACCTGAAATTCTTTAGGCATTGGCCCATTCTAACGCAGCAGCAGCAGGGGAAGAAGCACAAAAAGAAACAGGACACCAAACAGGACTGAGCCACTGTCAAAACTTCTATGGTTAGCATCAGCAAAGTCTACAGGTGTCAGCACTTACCCTCTGGACAAAGCCAGCAAATGCCAGTAAAAATATTCGCTAACTGTCACATAGTTTATGTTCATAACAAAGACCCCGGAAACTAGCTTTCCTCTGTGCTTTTGTCTTTTGTTGTGCAAGGTCGTCTTCTTTCCCTTATCATTTTCATATTTCCCTCTTTGATTCTTAGAATAATTTGTATTAATTTTAAAACGTGATGTTTACTGAACACAATAGTATCAAATAATCTTCTCTGCTCCCCATAGGCTTTTGAAGTTTCCAAATGCCGCTATTTGAAAAAGTGGTGAAGATATGTTCTAATTAGCACTAAAGTATCGTTTTAATTGGATTACTCAATCTGAAAATAAGTGGCTTTTTCAATATTTAAGAAACACATGCTTAAATGAAACTGTAACTTAAAAATGTGAATTTATATATAATTCATATACATGTTTATATAATTTAAATTTATAACTTTAAAATGTGAATGCTTTTTTTTTTACGATCTGTACTTTTCTCAGTATAAATATACTATGAACTATGATTTACAATAACATAACAATTACAAACCCACCCTTCATATACCTATAAACTAGCCAGTCCTGGGATTTAGGGAGTACCCACTCTATCTGGGGACTGCAAGAGTGTTTTTTTCTCTACTTCTATTTTATCAAACCCTGACTTTCATTTTCCTTCAGTACATTCTATTTTTACAGCAATTTCCTGTTTTAATATCTCCTTTTCTTGATACAAATCTATGAAACACATGTAACGATTGTGTAACACTGCTTTCAAGATCACAGAAGTGAAGCCTGGAGAAATTCAGTGAGTGGACTGCACAGTGACACCGCCTGCCGGTGGCAGAGCCAACTTCTGGGGTTCCGACTTATTCTCCTTCTCTATGAATGTTCACTAGATTTCTGGGGGCACAGATGGCATAAGAAGTGTGCTCTACCCAGATCCTCAGAACACCCCTTCAATTAATACAAAATGTTACTCTCATTTTCATTACACTTAAATATATCTAGGCTGGGTACATTCAAAGTTTACTTAGGGTATCTGTTGGTTTCAAAACATCAAAACCGACATTAAAGGATTAACTCACTGTAAAAGAAAACATTTTTAAAAGACACTTTAATTTTAGTAGGCTTTAAACATAAAGTTTTTAACTTTTCCCATCTAATTGAAGTATTTAATTATATTTTTAAAGGAAGAAAATCAAAATATGCCCATAAGAAATTAACGAATTAGATGAGAAAAGTCATGGAAAGGTAAGAGTTTCCATAATTTCTTAAAGGATTAAAATAAAACAGAATATACTGTGAATTTTAAGAAATTTAAGCTTAGGGGGAAATTTGATTTATACTGAGAAACAAAATACTTACAGGACTTCTGTTTCTGAACAATTTCTTTGGAGCATTTTGCAATTTGCAGGCCTTCAAGTAATCCATCCAAACAAATTTATCTTTTCTATAACCTAGAAAAAGCACAGATTACTCAAAATATGCACAAGATGTAACCATATGCATATTAAATATATTAGGTTGGTCCAAAAGTAATTGTGGTTTTTGCCATTACCTTTAATGGAAAAAACCCATACATACGTTAAAAGTAACGGCAAAAACCACAATTACTTTTGGACCAACCTAATATTCTTATTATTAGTCTCCTGCCATTCAACGTCCTTAGCACCCACAAAAGATTTAAATTAAAATCTCCAAATTGTTTCACCGTTTTAAAATGTATTATATTCAAAACTGTTGATAGTGCTTGCCCATTATGTGCATCATTCCCTACACAATTTCATATTCTCTGACACGAAGTCAGTATTCTGGTGGCTTGACGGGAGTCTCATCTCCCATTAAGGCTTTCCTGAATGGGCAAAGTGATGAGACCAGAGTTACCATACCTGTTCCCACTCCTGAGGAAGCCACATCACAGAGACCATCAGAGGTCCTGACGGTGCAGCTATCCAGGATGCCAGGCACAGAAACCCCTTCTCAATCCAAAGCCCATTCAACAGCTCCAGCTTTCTGCATCCCATCTTTACAAGTCTCCCATTAAAAACTGCCACATCCTCCCATTCGCATGCCCTAGCACGGCTCTCACACAGTGCTGGCCCAAACAGTACGGGCTCAAAAAATGGTTCTGAGCACCAGGCTTGGAACAAGAGTTAAACTCCTTGCACAGGATTCCAGGCCTGGGAACACCACTCTCTTCATCCCTGACCTTCCACCCGGGCTTCTCTGCTGTCTTCCTGAGATGTCTCATCCTCCCCAAGCACGCTCCTGTCCCGGACGCCTGCTCCGTTCTTCCCTCAGCTGGCTTACCCAGACACCACACTGCTTCCTCTCGCATTTCACCCACGTCTCTTTGGAACATTAGTCCACGGAGAGGCCTTTCTCCACCGTTCTGTCTAAAAGAGTGTCTCTGCAGCCACCACCAGGACCCCTCTCCTCTGAAATGAAGTCCCATGGAGACGGAGCCATTGATTTACTTGCTGTTGGCCCCCAGTGCCTCACGCAGTAAGGGCTCCTCAAATACCTACTGAATGAACAAGCCTGCCGCCTGTCACCAGCGCCCTAGAAACTAGCAAACTCAAAGGACTCTGCCATCAGCCTCAGGGGAGGATGCCAAGGGACACCCTGAGTGGATTACTAAGCATAAAGGACTACATACTGACTCCAGAAGTTGCCACAGTCATCGAGCAGTCTAACACACACGCCAGGGACAGTATACAGAAATTTGCTGTGCAAAGAAATGAGCCCATCAGCGCTGTCCTCAACCACATCCCCCCCTCACTTGCACACAGCAAATAGAAGAGGTTTCGGTCACATCTGCCTTGCCCAGATTCCTCCAGCATATAACAAAACAATGATATTTTTTATCCCCATCAAAAGAAAATACTGAATTTTTTTTCATAGTTCCATGTTTTCCATGATTCCTAAGGTTGAAGCAAATTATTTACAGTGAATCAGGTTTTCTTGCCTTGTACTATCATTGATTAGATATTTCATTTCACTCATGATTTAAATATTAGTTGGCATTCCCTATAAGGTTTAATAAATTTTATATAAAATAAAATGCTTTCATATTTTATTTCTGCCCTCTATACATTATCAGAATATTTGACCCAAATAGTCATTTATGCTTTTCTTTAAAGATATTTACTTCTAAAAATGGTACCACTATAGTCTTACTATTCTTTGTAGATCAAAATCTCATTTTGGAAATCAATTCACACCAAGATCTGTTGTTAGAATTTCATAAAATCTTGTTAAAACACAAGTGAAATACCAATTAATTCTCTTTCCACTTGGTAAATGTATCCTGGCTTACCCTTAGGGATGTGCAATTCATGTTTGGTCTTTTCACACCACCCTACTGGATGAATGTCAGGGGAGCCAGCATTGGTCCAAAAATCATAGCAACTTAAATAACCATCAAAATGAAGTCTAAGACGGTAACCACACACCTGCAAGAGAGAAGGTTTACAATCATTCGTTAAGTGTCATATATTTGGAGTAGACACAAAATTCACAAAATATTCATAGATTTTGTCAGTACTATCAACATATAAGAGCCAGTCCTGCTATTCAAATGTTTCCACTAGAGGACAAATTTATGGATGACATCTAATTAAGACAAAATGGTAATGAAATTAGACCATGACTTATAGGTATCTAGTGCATTCTGCAAAAATAGTAACCCTTTTATCCAATCTAGGAATCTGAGGGTCAGTTTATGTATTCATTAGTTAACTGGTTTATTTATTAATTCGATACGTGTCAAATATTCCCTTCAGCAACCCTATTTTCTGCCCTCTGGCCTGGATTCATATTCCAAGACAGTGCAAGCTAAAGTACAAAGCAAAACTAACATAGGCATGGCCTTGTTTCAACTCTAACATATGTATCCAGCATACTCAATAAAGAAAATAATAAAACAGTCTGAGAAATACATCCTCTAGACATGTGGTACAAGTTTAATAGCTATAATCAGTCAGTAAAGTGAATAAATATGACTACTATGTTCAATGCTATTAGAAATATAAAGATCTTTTATTGATTTAATAATGTTTAGTAAATATTACATTTTATAAGCCATTCATCAGGAGCTTGCCACTCTAAATAATTTTTGTAAAGTGTATGTATTTTTATAAATATATAATTCATATGTATTAATATTATTCATACACATTTCTCATTATTTCAGCTCAAATGTGAATAAGTACCTCTCATTAATAGGTAAAAATGACACTGGGATTAACAGATTGTTATCAACCTCAAGTGAAAATTATTTACCCATTAACTCAAGAGTAAATGCTAGTCGATAAAGGACTTATTAGAAAATTCATCTTAGGGGAAAGAAAAATATTTACTAAGAAACATAGTTTCATCCATCGCTGACTAAAATAAATCCATAATGCACTGGATCTTGTTCATGATAAATATCAAACAAATCTGTTATTCTCTTAGAAAAGTATCTTTCTGTCACTATGCAATCAGCCCAAGACAATAACACCGCCTCTTACCTCCGCTACAGAAAGCACACAGAATACCGATGGATGTCGGGGATCGATGCCTTCTAATCTCATTCCAATTTGAAAACCATTTTCATGCTCTGGAAAGGACTGATCCTACAAAATTTCACAACATAACATTAGCCACTGAGATTTCTTCACAGTTTTATATTAAAACATTTGGTGTCACCTCCAGGCGAAGTCTAAAACAACTGAACTCATAGAAATGAGAGTAGAATGGTGTCTACCAGAGGCCGGAAGTTAGGGGAATGGGAAGACGCTGGTCGAAGGCTACAACGTTGCAGTTAGAAAGGAAGAATAAATTTAAGGTAATGAATGTGTGAGTATGCTTGATTCAATCATTTCACACTGTACATACAGCATAACATCACGGTCTAGCTCATGATTATATATCGTTATAATTTGTCAAAAACATAAATAAGAATTTTTAAAAAGAATCTACTGTATAGTTTAGAAGCTCAGTGATCTGGCTAAAGGTGGAAGACTGTTCTTATATATAATTAGTGCTCAAGGATGGTTTCATTATGTTAATATGCTTTGAAATAGTGCCTCTGTGAAGCTCTGTGTCCTATGAACTTCCCATTTGTTCCTTTTGCCCATTTTCCTTCCTGTACCCTAGATAACTTCATTTTGCGTGTTTATATGAATTACCTACTCTCAGACTGTGACTTGGCTCTTCACTGTGCTTATAGTGACTTTGTTGTAGATAAACTTAAAATTTTAATATAGTAAAATATAGGCTGGGCACAGTGGTTCACGTCTGTAATCTCAGCACTTTGGGAGGCGGGCAGATCACCTGAGGTCGGGGGTTTGAGACCAGCCTGACCAACATGGAGAAACCACAACTACTGAAAATACAAAACTAGCCGGGCATAATGGCACATGGCTGTAACCCCACTACTCAAGAGGCTGAGGCAGAAGAATTGCTTGAACCCAGGAGGCAGAAGTTGCGATAAGCTGAGTTGTGCCATTGCACTCCAGCCTGGCCATCAAGAGTGAAACTCTGTCTCAAAAAAACAAAAATACAGAGGTACATAGATAGTAAAATTTATCACTTATTTTCTATATATTCTGAATACCCAGCCTATGAAATCCTTAGCTCTGAAGCTACATAAGTATTTTCCTTTTTTTTTTTTTTTTTTTTTTTTTTGAGACAGGGTCTCACTCTGTCACCCAGATTGGAGTGTAGCAGCATAATCTTAGCTCACTGCAACCTTCACCTCCCATGTTCAAGCAATTCTCCTTCCTCAGCCTTCTGAGTAGCTGGGATTATAAGTGCATGCCACTACTGCCTGGCTAATTTTTGTATTTTTAGTAGACATGAGTTTTCACCAATGTTGGCCAGGCTGGTCTTGAACTCCTGACCTCAAATGATCCACCCTCCTCAGCCTCCCAAAGTGCTAGGATTATAGGCATGAGTCACTGTGACTGGCCCTAGTATTTTTTAAGAACTGTTGAAGTTTCTTTCTTCATATTTAAATTTGTATTACAGCTGAAATTGAGTTTTCTATAGTGTGAGGTAGAGGCCTACTTTTATCACATGGAAAACATTCAAGAAAAGTTTATTGAATAGTCCATACTTGAACTGGTCAGCAAAGTCGGCTCTGTCATATCTGATTTCTACATACTTGTAGGTCTTATTTCTGACCTCTCTCTTGTGTTTCATTGACTTAATTGCCTATATCATATAGTTTTATTTGTTTATAATGAGTCTTTCTCTTTGGAGAGCTATCATTTTCATATTAAGATTTTTAAATTCAGAAACTTGTTCTCCCTCCCATTAATCTAATCATTCTTGTCTGTAAAAGTGTTTTTTAATTTTCACATAAAACTGCCAAAATGCTTTGCTATATTTATTTCTGGATACCTTTGAATATTTATTTCTATTTTTAATGTAATATTTTCACAGCAGACTTTCTAATTTGCTCCCATTCATTATTATTTTCTTTAAGCACACAGTTTTGAACAGATTCAGCATTATTACTCAGTTTATTCTTAACTGCAAATAAACATATACTAATGGAAAATGATGACTAGAATCTAGTTCTATTACATCTAGAGCTGCGTTTAATCACTAATTGTATTATTATTTAATATTGCTTAACATCTAAATGTCTATTTTGGGGTTAAAATTTATTCTTTTTAAAAATTATTCCAGGGGCCGGGCACAGTGTCTCACACCTGTAATCCCAGCACTTTGGGAGGCCAAGGTGGGAGGATCGCCTGAGGTCGAGGGTTTGAGACCAGCCTGGCCAACACAGCAAAACCCCATCTATACTAAAACTACAACAGTTAGCCAAGTGTGATGGTGCGTGCCTATAATCCTAGCTACTCGGAAGGCTGAGGCAGGAGAATCACTTGAAACTAGGGGGCAGAGGTTGCAGTGAGCCAAGATCACACCAGGCACTACAGGTGACAGAGTGAGACTCCATTTCAAAAAAAAAAAAAATTATTCCACTGGGAAATTTAAAAGTTGCAACAAGACAGTATAAAGAGCACATACATGACAGCCTTTGCTTAGATTCATTCATTGTTAACATGTCACCTGCTTTGCTTTACCATTTGTATTTACTCAATCTCTCTCATATGTCTATGTGAGCATATACACAGACAGAGAAACATATGGATATAGATAATGTTTTTTCTGAACACTTTAAAGACCCTTTACCCCAAAATCATTTTCCCCAAGAGTAGTGTATTTTCCCTCTGAATAAAGCATTCTCTTACAAAACCTCAACTAGATTATAAAGTTTTGTAAATTTAACGTCTAACACTACTTTTATCTAATCTTCCATTCATATTCCAGTTTTGTCCATTTATCCAACAATATGCTTTCCAACTTTCCCCCCATACACCCCCTGCACAGGAGACAATTTAGGGTCAGATGGTACAATGAGTTGACAAGACTCTTCAGTCTTCCTTAATCAGAAACATTTCGCATACCATGTCATTGTCTTGTATAGCACTGACATGATTTTTAGAAAACAGTCTTACCCCTCTTCTGATTTTTTCTTTTTTCTTAAGACAGAGTCTCACTCTGTCTCCCAGGCTGGAGCACAAGGCTCACTGCAACCTCCAACTCCCAGGTTCAAGCAAGTCTCCTGCCTCAGCCTCCCGAGTAGCTGGGATTATAGGTATGTGCCACCATGCCCAGCTAATTTTTTTTTTTTTTTGTATTTTTTTAATAGAGACCTGGTTTCACCATGTTGGCCAGGCTGGTCTAGAACTCCTGACCTCAATGATCCACCTGCCTTGGCCTCCCAAAGTGTTGGGATTACAGGCCCCTCCTCTGATTTTTTAAGTAGAACATTCCTCGTTTGGGGCTGTCTGTGGCTTCTTCAAGATTTGATTCAGGTGGTACATTTTTTGCTGGAATATTACATGGATGTGTTGTGCCCTTCTCGAGGCATCACATCCAGACGCATGTGCTGTCTCTCTATCCCTCACTGGTGATGGTAGTTTTGATCACTCAATCAGAGTGTTGTCCAATTTCTTCACTAAATAGGTACATACAAAATACACATGTACATGCATTCATACATAGACATGTACACATGTATACCCATACAAACATACATATATACTTTATAAATCATAAGTTCAAACAGATACGTCTAAGGCTAATCCCTCCCCGAAAGGTTAGTTCTGCTTTCCTGCATCCATTTTGTGTTTCTGCTTGAACAAAGTCAACACATTTACTCATTTACCAAACCCTACAGGGTCTCTTACAGTTTCAGAATTGTCTCACCCCTTTCTATTACAATAAGAAAACCTATTTTAAAAGTTCAAGCTTTCTTTGCAATTTTCCCTCCCTCCTCTGTCATCCAAGAATGGAGTATGTAGTTAAAAACTGTGTTCATGAACTACTTAGGTTCATTTTTGATCTCTTTTCAGTAAAGTTACAATATTCATTTGAAATACAATTGAGTTCAAATTTGTTAAATGTACTTTCAGTTCTAAATGATTTTTTTAATATGTAGAATAATAACACGCTTCCGAAAGTTAAAATTACTAAAACGTACTCAAAAATGTATGTCTTCCTCCCATATTCTATCCACCCCATTCCCTCACACCACGTCTTGGAGGTCACTAACTTTACTTTTTCTGGCTTATGCTTCCCAAGCTTCTTTTTGTAGAGATAAGCAGTTATATGTAGGTTTTTCTTATTTCCCCTTCTTTCTCGCACAAAAGACGGCATATTATACGTGCTCTTTCGCACATGGCTTTTTGCATTATTGATGTCTCTTGGAAACCACTCTATGTCTGTTCCCAACTGTTGGACACACTCTTTTTCACAGCTGCATTGTACTCCACTGTGTATACGTACCGCAGCTCATTCAACCTCTATACTTGGATGCAAGCCTTTTTTATATAAGCATGAAATTTAAAAACCTATGAATTGGCTTGTAAAGTGTCATTAAATTTTTCTTACATTCTGAGATCATTTTAGAAGCTTCTAAGGAAAAACTTAAAAGATGACAAACCCCAAAATGAAATGGCAAGAATGAATGATTTCTCAGGAATATTTTATTTCTACAAAAATAAATGTCATGTGTGCGTTTAACTCTCCCAGCCTTCTTCTCACATCTACTCTGTTTTCCAGCAGATTGTATTTAACAAGTTTTGTGTGACTACCTCCTGTTCACTGCTTTGAAATTTTTTGGTTAAACTTCAAAAGTGTCACATACATATACAAATACACATGCACACAACACTGATAAAATGCAAAGGAAAAGGTAGACCACAGGGAGAGCATATTAATAATGCTGAGAGGAAACTTAAGAAGCCATAGAAACTGGAAGAACGTTGTTCATGTTTTAACAAAACTTAAACACTACACAGCTAGGGGTGGGGAGGAAACAGTGTTGTGTTGAGCAAACTATACCTTCTTATCACACAAGAATGATAAATTTGAGACACTGGCAATAATTCCCAGCCAGAAGTGAAGATAATCAATGTTACTCTTGTCAGCCTTTCAAAATGGTTTCCCAATTGAACATTTGGGAGCTTTCCATAATGTTGCAAGTAACACTATATTGCTAAAACAGACTCAGCATTCCTTGGAGAGCTTCAAATAAAAAATAAAATGTTCATTT